AACTGCTAAAGCTGCCCCATAGCAGGGCCCGCTGGTCAAGCTTGGATGTTCCCACTTTTGGGAAACAGCCTGTAGAAGTTTGGGGTTGCCAGTCTGAAGAGATGCACAGTAATACTTGTTCAACAGGCTGGCTTCCTCCCACCTTACCCACAGCCAGGTCCTTCCAACGTGAAGGATCCCAAGTCTCAGAACAAGTCTGAACATGCCACTCAGCTACAGATCAGCTGACACAACACTCTCCTGACGGAACAGCGCGCTCAGAGTGCTCACTGCCCACTGCATGGCTTCACCTCCGACCAGGAACAAGAGGTGTGCTGCTTGCCAGACAATCCATCGGGTTCTTTATCCCTGAGCAGTGATCAGAATCAACTGAGGCACTCCTACCCTGTCTGTCAAAGCTGCATCTAATCTAGTGGCAAGAACTGCTGTTTAAAGGGGAGAACCAAAGCATTCATGCATCCCCCAAGTTAAATACACAGAGAAAGAAATTCCCGAGTGTTTGCCTCCACCTTGCTCCCCTCTAGCACCTCCACCACTACCCTGCTTCAGACCTTCGCCACCCCTCTCTGGACTCAGGTCCTAGATCACCCATCCTACCTGCTCTTCCCAGAATATCATCTGATATAGGTCCCTAGGGATCCCCGAGCCTAATAAAACCTTTTAATGGCTTCTCAGTGCTTCAGGACTAAGGTTGTTTCTCAATTGCAATCCAAAAACAATGACTCCCTGATACAGCCATTCCCAATGGTTTCTCTTGCTTTTTCATCCTCCACACACCCTTGTCTCTATCTTTCTTAAATAACTGAAGGGGCAGAATCAGCAAAAACAAACTCTCAGTGTTAACTACCCTTAGTTGCATCAAGGTCTTTGGGCCTAAACGAGCGTCCTGTTTAGGCACCCAGGTTTGCCTGACACCTCTCCTCCAAGGTCAGCAAAACGGGGCTAAATCTGCTCTGTCCTCCATAACTATGGTACCTCTGAGTCCACCCAGATTTCAGACATTCTCTCTCTCTCTCTCTCTCTCTCTCTCTCTCTCTCTCTCTCTCTCTCTC